GTTGTGGCTTGTTTATCCAGACTCCATTGGGAAAAAACTCTATTTTTTTGCTAGCAGTTGTCAATGGGAGCTAGCTTCTTGCTTAGGAAAGGGGGCTCATGTCCACTTCCCTTTCTCAGTGCCGGGACCCTATGTGACTTGGACCCGTGCAGACCCTGCGCATGGTGCCCCCATCTCTGTGAGTGGATTTGTGCATCAGCCCTGCTGTGTCTGGAAGGCATTGTTTTTGGTGGCGTCCATCCCCACCAGTTCTCACAGTCCTTCTGCTTCCTCTTCAGCAAACTTTCCTGGGCCTTGGGGGGAAAGATTTGATGGAGACACCCCACTTAGGACTGAGTGTTGTGTGTCCAAGGTCTCTCACTCTTTGCATATTGAACAGTTGTGTGTCTGAGTATTATTTGTTCTCATCTACTGCAGGTGGAAGCTTCTCTGGTGATGGCTGAGATGGACACTGGTCTATGGATATAGCAGAATGTCTTTAGGCATCATTATAGTGCTACATTTCTTTAGTCAAACAGTAGTTTTAGCTTTACCCCCAGATCCATGGCCTATCTAGTCCTAGGTTCTTGACCACTTGAGCAGTGTCCGGTATGAGTTTCATCTCATGGGGCAGGTCTTAAATCCAATCGGACAGTGGTTGGTTACACCCACAATGTTTGTACCACTCTTGCAGGAGCGTATCATGTAGGCAGGTCGCCAATGTATGTAGAAGGGTTTATAGCTGGGCTGGTGTTTACCTTTCTCCTCTGGTAGCATCTGGTTCCAGTACCAGGAACACCACTCAGCCAAGGTGAAGGCTCTAGGCAGACATAAGCTTGACTTCCCTGTGTTCAATGAGATGTGTAGGTGTTGTCTTCAGCAATAGAGCCTTACCACGAGTTTGTGGAGAGAAACCAACAGCCTCGGCAATATCCTGAGTTATTTGGCGGGTATCATGAAGCCCCTTTGGTCAACAGCTCGAGGTTAGATGTAATCCATTTCTGGCACTGGAGGTTTCACTTGGTGGTGAGAGATTTCTAGTTGTGTTTCTCTCCCCTGTTCTTTGGTTATTCCGTTTAAGTTTCATTCATTTCTGCATATATACTAAGAAGCTTCTACTGTGGTAGGTTTCCATACAGCACCTCTGATGGCTCTTAGTTTTAGCTATCCCTCCCCATATTCCCTCCCTTACCTCCTCTTCACTTTCATTTTCCATTCATCTGTTGACACAGACATCTAGGCTATTTCCAATGCTGGTTATTATGAATAGAGCAGCACTGAACATTGATAAGAAAGTGTCTCTGTAGTAGGGTGTAGAGTATTTGGGGTGCACACCCAAGAGTGGTATAGCAGGATCTTAAGGTAGATCTATTCCCAGCTTCCTGAGGAACCTCCACATTGATTTTTCATTGTGGCTGTACAAGTTTGCACTCCTAACAGCAATGGATGAGTGTTCCCCTTACTCCACCTCCTCACTAGTATTAGCTGTCATTTGCTTTATTGATCTTGGCCATTATGACTGGTGTAAGATAAAAATCTCAAAGTGGTTTTGATTTGCATTTCCCTGATGATTAAGGATGCTGACCATTTCTTTAAGTGTTCACCCCTTTGTACTTCATCTTTTGAGAACTTTCTATATCTGTGCCCCATTTTCAATTGGGTTATTTGTTTTCTTGATGTTAAGGTTTTTTAATTCTTTATATATTTTAGATATTGCCCTTCTATTGGATGTATAATTTGTGAAGGTCCTTTCCCATTCTGTGGCCTGTCACTTTGCCTGACTGGTGATGCCCTTTGCCATACAGAAGCACTTTGGTCCCATGAGGCCCCATTTGTCGTTTTTAGTGCCTGTGCTCAGTATCCTCTTAGAAAGTCTTTTCCTGTGCCAGTGCGTTCAAGACTACTCCTCACTTTTTTTTTTCTATCAGATTCAAGTTATCTGGCCTTACGTTGAGGTCTTTGATCCATTTGGAGTTAAATTTTGCACAGGATGATAAATATGAATCTATTTGTATTTTTCTACATGTAGCCATCCAGTTTGACCAGCACTACTGTTAAAGATACTGTTTTTTTCCCCAGTGTGTATTTCTAGCTACTTTATCAAAGATTAGATATTCATGGGAGTGTGGATTTATGTCTGGAACTTCAATTACATTGATCAATATGTCTATTTTTATGCCAACTTATATACTGTGCTGTATATAAGTTGTTAATATAAGATCTCACCATTGTTTTAATGTAGGCACTTGATGCTATGAACTTGCCTCTTAGAACAACCTTCATTGTGACCATAGGTTTGGTATGTTGTGTTTTCATTTTCATTCAATTCTAAACAAGGTTTTTAATTTCCTTAACTTCTGTCTTGACTCATTTTTCATTCAGTACTGAGTTGTACAATTTCCATGACTTTATAAAGTTACTGTTGTTGTTGATATCCAGCTTTAATCCATAGTGGTCAGATAAGATGTAGGCTGATATTTCAATTTTCTTGTATCTGTTGAGGCTTGCTTTGTGTTCAAATACGTGGTCAGTTTTGAAGAAAGTTCCTTGAGCTGCTGCTAAGATAGGTCCATTTGATTTATGACATTATTTAACTCCAGCTTGTCTCTGTCTAGTTTTTGTTTGGATGACCTACCTGTCCATTGGCAAAAGTGGGGCATTCACCATTACTGTGTGGGTGTCAGTCTGTGATTTAGTTGTAGTGTTTCCTTTATGAACATGGATGCACTTGCGTTTGATGCAAAAAAGTTTAGAAATGCAGTATCTTCTAGGTGGATTTTTCCCTTGGTGAAAATGTAGTGTCCTTCCCTATCTTTTCTGGTTAGTTTTGGTTTACAGTCTATTTTTTTTCCAGATATTAAAATGCACCTTCTTGCTTCTTTGGTACCACTGCTTGTAACATAGTCTTCTATCCTTTTACCCAGAGGTGACAGTTATCCTTGATGTTAAAATGTGCTTTTGGGGGGCAGCAGAAAGATGGATCCTGCTTTCTAATCAAATCTGTTAGTCTGTGTTTTTTTAATTGGGGAATTGATATCATTAATGTTGAGAGCTATCCATGAGTCATTTTTATTGATTCCTCTTATTTCGTTATTGTGGTGTTGATTTCCCCTCTCTTTTGATTTGCTGCTCTGAAATCATTTATTCCTTGTATTTTCACGGGTGTGGTTAACCTCTTCAGATTGAAGTTTTCCTTCTAGTGCTTCCTGTAGAGCTGGATTTATACATAGATATTGCTTAAATTGTTTAATGTAGAATGTTTTTTCTTCTTCTGTCTATTGTGGTTGTTTTGGTGGGCATAGTAGTCTGGGCTGGCATCTGTGATCTCTTTGAGTTCGTAGAACATATCTATACAGACCCTTCAGGCTTTTAGAGTCTCTACTGGGAAGTCAGGTGTTATTCTAATAGGTCTGCCTTTATATGTTACTTGGTCTTTTTCTTTGCAGCTTTTAATTTTCTTTCTTTGTTCTTTACACTCACTGTTTTATGATTTGTCAAAGGAGCTTCTTTTCTGGTCCAGTCTATTTGGTGTTCTGCATGCTTCTTTTATCTTGATAGGCATCTCCTTCTTGAGGTTAGGGAAATTTTCTTCTGATTTTGTTGAAAATATTTTCTGTGCCTTTGACATGGATTTCTCCTACTCCTTCTCTTCTTATTATTCATAAATTTGGTCCTTTCATAGTCTTCCACGTCTCCTAGATGTTTTGTGCCTGAATTTTTTTAGAGTGGGAGGACAGGCCCCTTGCATGTGGTCTGCTACAGGGCTGAGGATGGGACAGGAGAATTCCAGTGGAGACAGGAGGGAGCCACTTTAGTTACCTAGATAGGTTGTTTGCCATGCTTTGATTCCCAATCTGGGTCTTTACTGGTGAGATGTGTCCCCTGGAAACAACAGATAGTTTAATCTAATTTTTTACCTCACCCAGACATCCTGAGCCTCTTCATTGGTGACTTGAAGTGGTTTACATTTATGGTCATTATTGAGTGATGGTCCTCACCCAACCCCCAACCCCCCCCCTTTTTTTCCTTGTTTGGATTATTTGTTCTTTGCTTTCTCTCTGATTTTCTGGGTTACTATATTGGACATGATGGTTTCTTTCCTATCTCTACTTTATTCTAGTTCTCTGGTGAAATTTGCTCCTTCCCCGTGTGCAGAGCACAGTGTCAGTGTCATGGTCAGGTACCGCCTTCGTCTGCGCTTGGTTTGAAATGCCCGTGTTTCTCCATCAGTTTTAAAAGACAGCTTTGCTAGATACAGCACTCTTTACTGGCAGGTATTCACCTTCACAACTTGAAATAGATCCCAACGTGCATTCTAGCTCTCAGGGCTGCTGATGAGACACGATGTCGTTGCGATGCTTGCTACTATAGATGCACTGATGGTTTTCCCTTTCAATTGTTTTTTTTTTTTTTGGTTTTTTGAGACAGGGTTTCTCTGTGCAGCCCTGATTGTCCTGGATCTCACTCTGTAGACCAGGCTGGCCTCAAACTCACAGAGGTCCACCTGGCTCTGCTGGGATCAAAGGTGTTCACCACCACCACCCCCTGGTTCCCCTTTCAATTTTGAATCTTATTCCCTTGCTTGTTCTATAAGACACCATGGAAAAGTTTTTTCTCAGTCCTTTCTATTGACTTTTAAAATGGCTCTTGTGTATGTCTTTCTTAGACTTTTGAAATTTTCGGTTCTGATTTCGTTGAACGGCTTCTCTGTACTTGGACCATTTGGAGGTTTTGTTTGTTTTTGTCTTTTGATCATCCTGTCGATTCTGGTTTGCTCGTAGTTGGATCCCAGGGTTGTTGGACATTTTGGTTGTGCTCACACTTTTTCCCCTCTGGATACTTGAAGGTAGTATTTCACCAACCCTGTCCCCCATCCCTAACATGCTTCTGCTTGGTCATGTCCATCCGTGATGCTGTCCACTGTATTTTAAATCACTGAGGTTTTCATCTCCATCACTTCACCCCCTCCCCCATCTCAATTTCTTGGCTGACTTTTTCATCTGTATTACTAATTTTCTCACCCAGCTTATTGACCTTTTCCTCTCTACATTGCTGACTTTGCTCTCCAAGTACTGAGTTGAATTGTCTGCTTGTTTGGGTCTGATTTCAGAAAGATCATTGATCATTTTTACCAGCAAATTTTGAAATCTTCACCTGAAATTCGCATATTTAAGTATTTCTTTTAGTTCAGCAATTGTTGAGTTCTGACCTTTTGCAGGTATTATAATCGTCTTACTTCTTCATTTTTTATTTGTGTTTCTGTGTTATAATTTGTGTATCTGTTGGTTTAGATATCTCTTCTGGGTTTATTAGGCATCTTTTTATTGAGCAACTTACTCATGATAATCCATCTGCACTACTACTCAGGGAAGAGACAATTAATTGATGCAACAGCAACATCATCAAACCGTTCAAAATATAGAAATGCACTTAAAATCGCCATGTGGCAGCAGTGCACACCTTTAATCCCAGCACTTGGGAGGCGGAGACAGGCGGATCTCAGTGAGTTCGAGGCCAGCCTGGTCTACAGAGCGAGGTCTAGGACAGGCACCAAAAATATACAGAGAAACCCTGTCTCAAAAAAAAAACAAAACAAAAAAAGCACTTAAAATCGATTAAAGCCCCAAATAAAGCATCAATGACCACAGCATTGAAAATGGCAAACTACTATAGTCGGTACTCTCAAGTTCAAAATTGTTTATGTTAAGTGTGGAGACAATAAATGAATGAGATAAAAGGAGATAGGGAAGGAGAGGAAGAGAAGCAAGATGAAAGAAAAAGAGAAAGATGGAGAAGAATGAGATGGGGGAGAGCAAAGGATTAAAATTTAGAAAAATTTAAAAATGTCAAAAGCAAAGTTAGGCAAATATAAGACAAGAATAAATATCAGGCTGTTAAAGAATCAGGAAGATAAAACAAAAATATTACTAAATGTAGAGTGGTGGAGGAGGAAACAGTAGAAAAGAAAGAAAGGAAGGAAGGAAGGGAGGAAGGAAGGAAGGAAGGAAGGAAGGAAGGAAGGAAGGAAGGAAGGAACTAAACAACAACAAAACAAACAAACCCACAAGTAAAATACTGCTAAAAATGCAGTAAAATAATAAAAGTGGGAGGGGTCAGAAGAGTCAGAAGGGCGTGGAATGATGGCACATCCTTTAATGCCAGCACTTGGGAGGCAAAGGCAGACAGATCTCTGTGAATTCAAGGCTAGCCTGAGCTACATAAGTGAGTACCAGGCCAGCCAAAGCTACATAGACCTATTTCAGAAAACAAATAACAAAAAATATCAGAGAAAAAAGGATGTGGTATTAGAATAGCTTTCTGTGTATTCAAGACGTGGAGATCGCCAATTACACAGACTCTGGCTGGCTGGGGCTCAGCTGAATGTCTGGACTCCATTCATGTGTCTCTTCTATAGTTTATGCTGTTGCTGGGTATGGACTGAACAAGTAACCACCGTTCACCAGAACTGTCTTACCTTGGTAGAGTTTCTTTGTATACCAGGGGCCTTGGTGGACACATTTAGTTCTGTCTGTGGGCTGGGCAGGCTCTCTGATCCTCCCAAGACTCCCCAGATAATCATTCCTGGGGTGGCAAGTGTCCCCCAAGTGCATTGGGAGTAGGGGAAGCCGTAGCAGCGTGGAGACAGTAAAGACAGAGGCTGTCCTGAGTACCAGTCACCTGCCTTGTGGATGTAGCTGTGGGTATCAAGACACGCCTGCAGCCTCAGCAGTGAAGAACAGGTAAGTTGATCCGGATGTTATTCCACCACTGGCCTCAGGCTCAGAGTCAAAACCAGGGCTGTCCTCGTCCTCGGTGACACTACCTGCTCCTAGCCCCTGAGGAGGGCCTGTCTTTCCCCAGGCACTCCCCTTTCTGAGCTAAGCCTCCTGCAGACTATATATAACCTTTGACCTCTCAGCACCTAACCCTCCTGCTCTCCACGGTTCTTTCCTGGAGCCTTTACCTACCCTAAGGCTGGGAACAAAGCAAACTCAGGCTCCTTACGTGGTGCAGTTATTCCCCGATCTCAGGACCTCACGTTATTCAGGTTTTAGCAGTAGATTCTCTCTCTGGGAGGTGGCTGGCCACTCCCCTCCATATCAGGTGGAACGACAAAATGGGATTTCTTCCCACTGCTGACTCGTTGGTTGGAGGGACCAAAACTCAACTGAGTCTGACTTACAGAAGTGTTTTGTTCCTCGTATTTCTGTTTTGACTTTGTTTTTCCCTCTCAGAACTTAAATTTATTTGCTTAAGTTCTCTTCCAGGTGGTTAAATTTCTCGTCTGTGTTGCTGACTTCTGTGTGCAGGCCCTGAATTGACGTCCCTGCTTCACTCATCTGTTTACTCCTTTGAAGGAACTGGGCATTTTTAAAAGTAGATTAAAAAAATCCCTTGTTCAGCGTTTCAACAGCTATCACTGGTTGCAGATACCGAGGAGTTAGGAGCTTGCTTTCACATCTTCTTTTTGGGTGTTTCTACAATGTCATTTGTACATGTGTTGTATTGGACATATATGTCTTCCTATTTCCCCTACTCTTCTGTGGTTGTTTTGTGTTACATTTTCTTAGTGGCAGTCTTCTCTTGGACTGATGATTCCTGCCCCATACAGAAGAGAGAAAGCAGTCAGTAACAGTTAAAACAATGAAATGCAGCAAAAAAGAGTAACCGGGTACTTTATTTACAACCTCTGAAAGGTGTGGATATAAATGACAAGGATGCTAACAGGGTAAACCAGGATTTTAAAGAGTATTAAAATTAATGATATTCATAACTAAGAAATAAAAAGAGAATGAAGAGCTGTAGAGATGGCTCAGTGGTTAAGAGTATTTGTTGCACTTCTAGAAGACCTGGGTTCAATTCCCAGCACCCATATTAGCATATATCTTCTGTAACTCACAGTCCGGGAAATCTAATGTCCTCTTCTGGCCTCTGTGGGAAATGCATGCCCACGGGGCACAGATAAACATGCATACACTTAAACGTATATTTTTTTATTTAAAGAAAATGAGGTGGGGTCAAGAAAAAGGCAAAGCAAAATGTGAAGGAGAAGAAAAGCATATGTAATGAAGGCGTAAGAGATAGCAAGGAGGCTGGAGAGATGGCTCAGCGACAAGAGCACCGACTGCTCTTCCAGAAGACCCGGGTTCAATTCCCAGCAACCACATGGTGGCTCACAACCATCTGTAATGAGATTTGGTGCCCTCTTCTGACATGCAGGTGTGCATGCTGATAGTGCACCATAAACATAAAATAAATAAATCCTAAATTTTTTTTAAAGAAATAGCAAGAGAGAACTCAATAAAACCAAACCCAAGCTAGCAAAAAAAAAAAATTAAAATATAAAAAAAAAATATAATACTGGTCAATATTTCTTTTCTTTCTGAGATGACTATGTGTTCCCTGGCCCCCAGTTTTTACTAGAGAGTAGTGAGTATCACTACTCTGCCTTCTGAGATCCTGGTCCTTTTTATATTTCTGGGCATATTTTGGAAAGCATAAAACACATGCCTACTAAGTTCAAAACCTGGGCTTCTTCTAAAGTGTTTTCTATTTTTTCTTGTAGGTTATATTTCATAGTTCGTTGTGACTTATTATTTTATCTATTTACTCATTTTTTGAATATGCCATATTTCATATACATTTTGTAACTTTTTGTTAAAACTTGGGTACTTTAACTCTAGGAATCAATTCTCCTCCATCTTCAAGAACTATTGTTGACTGTTGAAGGATATGTTTATTGGCTGATTGAAAGTGATTTTGCAAAGACTGTTCCCATTTTTAATTAATTTTGTAGTCAAGATTTCCTGAAATATTAAAGTTGCCTTTTCAAGAAAAACTCCTCTCTCTTATATAAGCACTCCCTTATTTGATGTAAGTTTTGGATTATTTAGAATCTGAAATCGGTGATACATCAGAGTTCGACTGTTTCATTTCATTCAATGGAGGGATCAATTCTTTAAGCATTTTTTGATGTACATTTTATTTCCTATTTGGTTTGTTTTTATTTATTCTTTAAATTATTTTGATTCCTGAGAATTGGAAAAATGAAAATAGGTAGTAATAAATGTAATAACATTTATTTTCTTTTAATACAAAGCATTTACTACTTAGCAGCCCATTTATACAATGTTTCAGCCAGGCATCTATGTTACAATCCATAATTGTACTGGTTAAATTATTTTAATATGACATAGAGCCAGACGTTAACAATTTTATTTATTACCATCAATAATGCTGTTTTTAATTTATATTGATATTTGTTCATTTTTCTATCAACTTTCTCTGTTCATTTTTATTTTAGGTTAAGTATAAAAAGGAAAAATTTCCTCATTTTTCAGGTAAGTTATTATTTATAAATTGTTATAATTTTCAAATATTGGGTCATCGAAGTTTAGAACACTAAGTCTCATAAAATAATGATTACCATAATTTCCTTCAAGATGTAAATTATAGTATTTTCTCCTCATTATAAAAACACAGCCTCAGAGTAACCATGGGAAATTTAAACAAAATACAGAAGCTTAAAAGTGGGAGTCCTGAATAGTTTTCATTAAACATACGTTCCAGTGGAATTAGGAAATCACTTACTACACTTTGCTGTTTGTGAAGCTTTTGTCTGCCTTACAGATCTCCCTATGAACACATTTTCCTACTTCAAAAGGCTTCTTTTCTCAGCGATACCATTATGAAGACACAGTCAGTATGTCTGTAAACCAAAAGGCAATAATAAAATATCTAACAAATAAAATAAGCACAGAAAAATAATACAGTATTGGTGAATTAGAGTTCCAGAGGCCCTCTGAGGAATTATGTTGGGTTGAAGGAAATGGGAGATTCCCAAGGAATCAAGGGAGCCACCACAGTGTATGTTAAAGTGGTACCTGGAAATCTAACAACTGGAACAATCAGAGTTGCACAGTGACTGCACATTCCTTCAGAAGAGACAACAGTAGTCAGTCAAAATGAAGATAAAATAACAAGATAGCTGTAGTTCATGCTACAGACAGGAGATGAGCAAGTGATTACATCTCTTTGTACATTTGTGGGGTGCAAAGAACAGCCTTCATTTAAGGGCTTGTGGAGAAAAGAATCAAATCAAAATGTGCTTAACAAGTTGTCAGAGTTGAAGTTGCTATTGCTGTGAAAAAACATCATGACCATAAATAACTTGGGAAGGAAGGGGTTTAATTCATTTTATAATTTGTAGTTCATCGTCATTTATAGGAAGTCACGGCAGGAACTACAGCAGATGCCATGGAGGAGTGCTGCTCACTGGCATGCTCCTCAGGACTTGCTCAGCCTGCCTGATAAAGGCAATTCTGAAGAAGTTTCCTATGAAAATAGGAAACAAGACAGTAGAAACTAGAGAAAAGCTCACACACTATGAAGGGGAGAGACCTTGGCTGAATCATGTTGAGGCCCAAGGGCTTTGCAGAGAGCAAAATTTAAGAACTAGTAACCAGAATATCTGACAACTTTCTAAGCCAAAAAACTGAAGTCGCTGCACGAGTACTTTTAGCAAAGTACTGAATATAGCAAAAAGCTAAAGAAGAGAATGATTTAAAGAAAGAATTTATAGTCAAAAGGGAAGCAGGCTGGCAAGATGTAGAGTATTTATTATCTGATCATGTTAAGAATGAAAAGGCAAGTTTGGGGATCAAAGGAGACTGTAATGAACAGAAAGGAACTCTCTCTTCATCAAGATAATGGGGATGAGAACGCCAAAGGCATTCCAGCGAGTTTGGAGGACCTTGAGAGCAGGGTTTCCAGAGAAGAGTTTGCAGAATCTCAGCTTTTGCTTCCCGGTGCCACCACAAATACCTGCTTCCCCCATCTGCCACACTGCTCCTCAGTCACTCCAGTCATGACTCAGCCATCCTGAGTACGGTCTATGCCACTGCATGAGAAGGCCAAAGTCAAACCTGTAAAAGCCATGTATGCTAATTATGCAGGTACACACAGTTGGCAAAGTACCCGGGGTGGGGGAGGGGGAAGTCCAGGTAGGGTCTTGTCCCAATGGCAGCAACATTGCCGAGATCCCATTTAGGGCAAGAGCTATAAATCCTTATAGCTGCCAGCACGCAAGATCAGCAGGAACAGCAGGTATGAGCCTAGGAATGCTGATACAGAGGCCGAAGACAGGCCATGGCGTCCCAACGCTAACCCCAGAGTGCCCAGAGAATGGGGCATGAAGTCGAAGAAGATTCTTCTGGAGTTAGTATTTGATGCTTTCTCTTCTTGGACTGGAGACTCATGATCACAGTCTTGGGCCACCATTTTGTTTGGGAAGCAGGTAACTTGTTTCACAGGCTACAGCTAGAGGGAAATTTGCCACAGAATGAATCATGTCTTAATCTCACCCAAGTCTGATGTAGATAAGACCTTGGACTTGAGACTTTTGGCATGATGGCTGTCTTAGGGTTTCTCTTGCTGTGAAGAGACACCATGACCATGGCAACTCTTAACAAAGAAAACAGTTAATTGTGGTGGCTGGCTTACAGTTCAGAGGCTCCGTCCATCATCATCATGGTGGGACATGGCAGTATGCAGGCAGACATGGTGCTGGAGAGGTAGCTGGTACATGCTGGTATGCAGGCAACAGGAAGTAGACCGTCTCACTGGGCATGGCTTGAGCATATATGAACCCTCAAAGCCCACCTCCATAGTGACACGCTTCCTCCAACAGGACCACACCTTCTCCAACCAAGCCACACCTCCTAATGTGCCACTCCTTTTGGGGGCCATTCTCTTTCAAACCAGCACAATGGCCAAAAGAAATGAAGACTTTGGAGCTACTGGGTAGAATACATGTATTTTTCATGTAAAAATGTCTGAATTTTGATGGCTGGGGGTAGAATTCTATGACTTTACTATGTTTCACAGAAAGCATATGTTGGAAGCATTATTCCCAAGATAGAAGTGTTGGGAGCTGGGCCCTAATGAGAGATTCTTCTGCCGTGAGAATAGGGTGAGTGAGTTAATACTGTTATTCCAAGAGCGGGCTTGTTGCAGGCATGGCTTTGTTTTACTAGAGAGAGCCTGGCCCCCTCTCATTTGTCTGCTTCCTGCCATGAAGTGAGTCAGTAAGAAAGCCCCACCAGGTCCTGGGCCTTGGATCTTGGAATTATTGGCTTCTAAAACTAAGAAATACATTTCTGTTCCTGATAATGTATCCAGACTCGAGTATTCTGTTCTAGTAGCACAAAACTCCTGGATACCTTGAGAACCTCTAGAGAAGGCCTTTTGGAGTAAACTGGCGAAAACAGATTTCATGTTCTATTGTTTTCAACTATGTGTCAGAAATGAGAAGTTATTCTTCATCTAAAATGAGGTTATGAAGTAGGTCTCAGCTCAGGTCTGCCACTGTGACTGTGACCTCAAGTCATTGCCTTGTAACTGCTTCAATTCTCCATGTATATGGAGAGCAAACCCAGGGCCTCCTGCACGCTCAGTCAGTGCTCTGTCACTGAGCTACAGTCCCATCCCCTCAGTTTTCCCGTTCTACAATGAAAGAGCGGGCTGCAGATGGTGACATGAGCCTGTAATCCAGGCAGAAGGATTATGAGTTCAGATTTGGTCACATGGCGAGTTTCAGGCTAGCCTAGGCTACCTAGTGAAATTCTGCCTCAAACAATCAAAGCATGGAGCTATCCACTAAGATAACTTCTCTGTTGCTTTAAACTGCCTCAGTTGGTCCCCAGAACTCTGTAAACACTCCATCTACTAACACCCATGACAATGACGTTCTGTCTTACAGGTGAGGCCACAGAGGCTGGGGGTGTTGTCACTTGGTAGGAGGCTCACTGAGGCCACTGAGGCTGGGGGTGTTGTCCCATGGTAGGAGGCTCACTGAGGCCACTGAGGCTGGGGGTGTTGTCCCATGGTAGGAGGCTCACTGAGGCCACTGAGGCTGGGGGTGTTGTCCCGTGGTAGGAGGCTCACTGAACATGCAGGAAACCCTCAGCAATCCATCTTCAGCACACTTGTAATCACAGCCCTTGGAAGGTGGAGGCAGGAGAATCAGAAGTTCAAGGTCAGCTTTGTTACACAGCAAGTTTGAGGCCAGCCTGGGCTACATGAAAACTGGTCTCAACAACAACAACACCCGACATAAATAGGATTTCTAATTAAAAGAGGCTTTCATAGCTGGGTGTGGTAGCCCAGGAACAGCTGGGTGAGGTAGAGGCAGGAAGATCAGTGGTGCAGAAGTGTCCTCAGCTATGAAGCTAAGGGAGGCCAGCCTTGGCTTACATGAGACCTTGTCTCAAAAGTCCCCCAAAAAATAAAAATTAAAAATAAAGTGGTTGTACTAGACATGGTTCCCAGTACTCAAGAGGCAGAGGCAGGCAGGTGTCTATAAGTTCCAGGCCAGCCTGGTCTATACAGCAAGTTCCAGGACAGTCAAGGCTGCATAAAGAGATCTTGTCTCAAAAACCAAACCAAAACAACAAAAAAGTGGTTTTGCTATACCTTGCATTGTATTTCAATTTGTTCATGCAAACCAATCTTCTATAATTAACCTAATAAATTATTTACAGATATGCATGGCATACTTATATTATGTGAAATAAAATAAAAATATAAAATAAAAAATAAAGGGTTTATTTAGTAAAGTTCACAGGGTACCCTTATCAGTTTCCTTCAATTACCATCATCTGTAGATAAATCACAAGTGTGGAGCTAGGCAATTTCTTTCTTTCTTTCTTTCCTTCTTTCTTTCCTCCCTTCCTTCTTTCTTTCTTTCTTTCTTTCTTTCTTTTTTTTTTTTTTTTTGACAGGATCTCTCAACAGGATAGCACTGGCTGTCCTGATACTCATTATGTAGACCAGGCTGGCCTTGACCTCACAGAGATCCACTAGCCTCTCTACCTTCTGAGTGCTAGGATTAAAGGTATGCACCACTGTGCCAGGCTAGCCCAGTTACTTTTAAACACCTTTCACTGAGACTTCTGAGTCTGGGTATTTGTGCACATACATTCTGGCCAAGCACTACAATTCATTGAAATTATTTTCATTCTACTCTCCCCTTTATAATTTTCTTAGCTTCTGCAAAAGATACTTCTCTAGTATCACAAATTGAATTATTAAGGAAATACATAATTATTCATGAAAGGTATCTAGAATATAGTATGGATAGCAAAGTAACAATGGAAAATTACCCAGTGTCTATCAGAAAGCAGGACACAGCTCCAAAGAATGTGTACAAGCCACCTTTTCAACAGGGCGTGAAGCACAGCTTTGTATAACGTACCTAGTATTTAACACCCACCCAAACAAACAGCAACAAAGAGTGTAACAATGACAGGTTGAATTACTATTTTTTGAACTGCCATCAAGAGCCAGAGTTATAAGTGGAAATACTTAACATAAGCATTATAACTATAACCTAAATTAACCTTATATGCATGAAATGTACAGAGCATGGTGACATGTAAACTTCTATTTCTTACCACAGACATTCCAACAGTGATAGGGAAAATCATAGAGTTATCGGGTGAAGATTCAAGGGTATGGATGTATCCAGAGACCAGAGTAACGAGGGCACTAATGATGGTTAAGGATGACGATGATGTTCACATTACTTTCATGTTTCCTATATGCTGGACACAGTGTTAGATGTTTTGAACATTAGGTCACAAAACACTCCTCCCTTGACAGCTTAGCAAAACAAGGCTAGAAGAGGCAGTAATTAATTAATTACTGAATTAAGTCGTTAGTTGTACAAACTCATGGAGTCCAAGTCCTGGGCTTTTGACCACTGTGTTTTCATTCATGGCCAAGAGATGTATTATAAAGCCCACTTCCCAAATGTTACAAGTGCCATCCAATTTATATGACTTTAGTGGGTTTTTTTTTCATTCTTTTTCAGATGTGTTAGCAATGCCTGAGAAGCCCTTAGGACAAGAAAATACAAATCAAAAAGGGAAAACTGTAAGTAGATGGATATATCCTTTAAAAATTGTTGGCACTTCTATTATTTAGAGTTAATTAATATTTACTGATATTCTTCAATATGCATGCATGCATTCATTGTCGATCAATTTTAGGGTTATATTATAAATTTATAGAACAATATAAATGTCCCACTGACTTTAGCAAGTCCTACATTCAAGTCAATGTTTTTGAGTTGCTATTTTTATAAGAAGCCATATAACTAGTAAAACACAGATCAAGAAGTGTGGAATTTGAGCCCATCTTCATGATATGAACTTTTGAAATGGCCATTTGCTCATCTCAGTTGCCCATTTATACTTAAAGTTCACTATTTGGATTTCTCTTGTTTATATGCATTGCCAAGCTAACAGCAACAAGTATTCCAGAAATAGAACAGGAATTGTGTGGCTTGGAATAGAGATCAAGCAAGAAAGAAATGTCTAGATGAAAGGTAATGAGAAAGAAAATTTTGATATTTCTCACATTTGCATTCAGAAGGGAAGAACCATGCTCATAGGGAAAGTTTCCAAGCCCTAAGGAAGCAACAGTGCTTTTTCTCACAGTATTTAATCATTAACTGATACTGACTCCAAGGCATTGACATTTCATGCTCATTCTCTTTCATAGGGAGTAGGTTTGCTGTGAGAATTTCTTGGACTCCATGCAACAGAATGTAGTAATCATTGGAAAGTCTGAAGTCCTTAGTTCTTTAGGACATTACTGACTAATCTTCACACTGGCTGTCCCAGCAAGCCATTAAGATGTCCTGGAGAAGCCGGGCGGTGGTGGCGCACGCCTTTAATCCCAGCACTCGGGAGGCAGAGGCAGGCGGATCTTTGTGAGTTCGAGGTCAGCCTGGGCTACCAAGTGAGTTCCAGGAAAGGCGCAAAGCTACACAGAGAAACCCTGTCTCGAAAAACCAAAAAAAAAAAAAAAAAAAAAAAAAAAAAAAAAGATGTCCTGGAGATGTTCGTGCTTGACGTTCACATCTTTATACTAACTCATGTATCTAGAAACAGCACAAAAACTCTGGTTGGCCCCACAGTCTGTGCTCACGTTAGAAGGAAGGGCATGGCTTCTGTACCGCATCGCTGTCCCAGGAGGCCGAGATTCCAAGTTAGAAGACATGGACTGGGCACCAGTCTTTCCACTGTTAGCTGGGATTAAGTTGACACTGTTCATGGTACCTGTGTACCTACTGTGCAGCAGGCCCTGGAAAGGACATCTGGTGAGGTTATACCATAATGCTGGCACCATTTTAAGCTGTTGTGAGCACTGTTTTGATTGGACGCTTACAAGTGGGAATTCCTATGGGTTTTAATTACAGGTGAGGACACCGAAGTGGACTTTGGAGAAACTACCTAGGGGTGTCAGGATTTTATTCTAGAGCACATACAGTCCACCACCTCCTGCCGGCCCATCTTGAGCAGTTAAAGATACTCAGTTACATCCCATTTAATGATGGGTATACATCTGAGGAGTGCAATTCTACTGTACAAAAACACACAAAAACTTAAGACTGTTGTGACAGCACTAGGTAATATGATCTTAAGATCACTGTCATGTTATGTGGTCAGTCACTGACCAAAAGGTATAGTTAACACAAGAAATGAATGCCATAGCACAGAATGGAGCAAAAACTCCCTACTCAATCATGATAAAGCAGACAGCCTGAATAGTCCTATGAGTATTAAAGAAATGTGTATCAACAGATTATAGGAATGAAATAATGCAGAATAATATGGGAGAAGCTTTTCAGAAAATTCAATATCCAGCCATTATTTAAAACTCTGAACAAACTTGTAATAAAAGGTAGCTTTCTCCAAAGCTTGCATATTACATTATATTGAACAGTGAAAGACTGTTTGCCCTCAAAGATCAGAAACAAGGCAAAGTTTTTGCTGATAGTTCTCGTTCAGTAGAGTGCAAGAAATTTTGTTCATTACACTGTGGCAAGCAAAGGAAATAAAAGTCATGCAGAATAGAAAGGAGGAAACAAATTGCATCTTCAGATGACACAATTGTCTACATAGAAATCATCAGGTAGCCTACAAAAGGAAAAACCAGGAAACTAGTAACTGAGTTCAGGAAAGCTGATGAAAATAGATATAAAAAAATAAAATAATAGTATCTTTATATACTAACAAAAAACACCCAGAAACAATTAGTACAATTAATATGTTATACAATAATATAACTCAGAAAAGATACACTTATAAATATATCAAAAGCATGTATAAAATATAGCAAAAATGACAAGTGATAATAAAGGACATTGAACATCTAAATAAAAAGAGTACTGTCCTCCTGACTGGAGAGGTCAACATAGTCAAGTTGTCAGTTCTCTTCAAGCTGCTCCAAAGCTACCATGTAAATTCTGTCTAAACTGTAGCTTTTGTAGAGAAAATATCACTCCAGAAATGTATGTAGAAAGACAAAGACCCCCAGAATATTTGAAAACAATCTTTAAAAGGAACAACGTAGGGACAATTACTTTGTATTATGTAATAAAGAATCAAGAGAGTATGATTTCAGAGGAGCAGCAGATACACAGATCAGTGGGAGATAATCAGCATCCCAGTGGGGATGGAGAGATGCCTCGGGGTGAAGAGCACTGGCCACTCTTGCAGAGGACCGGAGTTTGATGCCCAGCACCCACACGGTGATTTACTCCAGTTCCTGGGGATCCAGTGCCCTCTTCTGAGCTCTCCGAGCACCAGGCACACACATGGTACACATAAAAACATGGAGGCAAACTCCCAAACAGAAAGTACAATGAATACCTCTAATAATAAAGTGTTAAGGAAAAAACATGCCAGCAGTCGTCCCACAGGTACAATGAACTGGTTGGTAATGCTACAGAAGGAACGTAATGGAGAGGAGAGACCTTTCTACTGTGTTGGGGGCAACTGGACATTCACAGGCAGACATTTAAATGAATCATGGCCTAGGTCTCATCAAGAATTTAAAATAGAATGGAACTAAAACTAGTGGATTGTGGAGGAAAATATAGTGGAAAATGTTATAGTCACTCCCCTCAAAAGATGAATAGTTTCTTTTTAAAAAATGAAAGACAGAAACTAGATCTGTACCTGCCAGTAACTGAATTCTTGGGTACTTATCCTACAGAAATTAAGAGTTATATGTTAGGAAAAAAAGCCTGGGAACTCATGTTCACAGCAGCCTTATTTATAGCTTGAACTTGGAAACCAGATGTTCACCATCTCCTAAGTAAATCATGGAGCAATAGTCAGCAGAGAAAGGGAACAAATCATTGACACATTAAGTAACTTTTTTGAATTTTTGAGAATTATGCTAAGTAAAAATAGACTACTATCAAATACTGTAGGCTCCATGATTCTATTTTCATAACATTCTTGAAATAGTACAATTAAGAAATGGAGAACAGATTAGTGGTTGTGTATGGAGGCAGGGAGGAAATAAACGTGACTATAGAAAGGATTTCTTTTGGAATATTCTATATCTTACCTTTATAATGGTGATGTCTTTGTTGTGAAATTATACAACAGTTGTGTTAGAGCCACTACCAGGGGAATCTATTAAGGGGTACACAGGCTTCCCATTACTTCTTAATAAAGCCAAGAGAAATTCAAATGGCAGCCCATAAGACAGATTACATACAGCAGACTTAGAAGTTTGAAAGAATCTATCACCAGGGCAACAGATTTATAAATTGAAGACATTTCAGAGTTCTAGAACAAATTCCTAAACAGCTAAGATTCACAAGCAAGTTGCAAAATCCTCAGAATTCTATGGGAAAGTAGGCCTTGGAGTAATTTGAAGGTGGAAAAGGAGGTTTTTATGAACCAAGGTGGACAGTGTATTAAAGAGATGCTCTGTCTAGAGACCAGCGCCTGGAGCACAAATCTGAACTGGGACGGACTGGCTGCACCCCTTTCCAAGCCCAGCTTATCCAGGTGGCTGTCTTTCAATAACATCTTCATTGGTTTTGAATTAAATGTGTAAATTAAATTAAATTTGTAAATTTTAACTTGGACAATATGGCTCAGCTAACTTCCATTTAAACACTGGCATTGACTGGATCCTAAATCCTTTTCCCAAAGTCAGGATGCATGAAAGGTTGAGAGGGATGGGAATTTAATTTTACTCAACAAAGAGAGTATTTGATAATGGCAAAGAGAAATTGCTATGGTGTGGTGTGGTGTAGTATAAACAAAATACTTAGAATAAAAATTATTAGCATATACAAAGTATACGCAGTGATGGGTTTCATTATATTCCCACTCACATCTATCATGTGCCTTGATCACAGTCACACTTCCTGGCAGCCCCTTGTCGTCCCCCTCCTGCTGATCCCCTGCTCCTTCCCTACCAGTCCCCATTCTAGTTTCACATCTGTAAAAACTTTTTGGTGGCCCAGTGAGTTTCACTGTGGTTCCCTACAGGAACCAGTGAGAAGCTTTTTATAGGAGTACAGGTACCTTACCAGGTACTGCACAGTTGAAGAAAATGTCTCATCCCCAGTGACCACCAAATGCCTGTCTACTCAGGGAGGGGCGGGGTTTCATAGGTGTCTCCCTGCCTCCATAACAGATGTTGGTAGGGCCAAAATGTTTTTTTAATTAAAAGAGTTTTATATTCAGTATTTTCAAAATGAAGACATCATATTTTACTTTCAAAGCAAAGAATAAATATTTTAAAATATTTATTTATTTTATGTGAATTGGTGTTTTGCCTGTGTGCATCTGCAGGAGGGTGTCGGGTTCCTCTGGAACTGGAGTTACAGTTGTGAGCTACCATTTGGGTGCTGGGAATCGAACCCAGGTCCTCTGGAAGAGCAGCCAGTGCTCTTAACAGCTGAGTCATCTCTCTAGCCCCCACAAAGAATGACTATTTAGGAGAGTTCCAATCCATAAAGTCTTTTACTGTTAAATGATTCATGCTGATTGCATAATTATGTAATTCATATAAAGTAATATGAGGGTCTGGTATAAACAAGCATTATGTGAAGTATGTTCAGTATAAAAAGAACTCTACAATTTTAAACGAAAGAGTGTAGTCAGGAGCTTCCTATCTGAGTATTTGCACACACTCAAAAACAACAATAAAGCAGGCAGACAAGTCACCAAGAAAATGATGGTCACGGGCCACTCTTATTAGCCCTTTGGTCTTTCATCTTCTAAGCAGTTCAATGTTCTTTTAATGACAGTAGACGTATATTTTGATCACAAATGCAGTCCGAGTATGAATAAATAAACAGATATCACCCTCTTCTTTGTCCCCTCTAAGTAGGAAAACAGAAACAAAAACCCTAGATGTCTCTTGATGGCCTGCATGGCCACAGTTGTCCCACATACGGTTTGAACAGATTGTAACTTGATCTTCTGAAACCTTTCTTGAACTACAGTTCATCCAGTTAAGGAAACCTTGGGAAACACGTCCTCCTGACTTTGTCAGTGGCCTCCGAAAGGTAAGGATCTGAACAGAAGCCAGCTGGGAGGGTCTTCAGCAAACCGAGGGCCGTGGGAAACTGGCCAAGTGCCAATCTTGTCAACAAGATACCAGCTCCTTCACGTAAAGCTGGGAGAAGGCATGGCCACTGACCCGCCCGACCATGGCTACAGTCGACTTCTTGCTGGCATTATGTCTCCTAAGGTACCACTAGAGACAGAATTCCAAGGATTCTCTTTTCTCCATGGAAAACAATCCTCTCCAAACTTCAAAAGTACATTAACTGTGGATCTCTGTTTTTAATGGCTGTTAAACTTCCTTTAGTGTATTGTTTACTTCCACTTAAGAATTTTGAAAACCTCTGATAGCTTGAAAGATACCATTGTCCATGGTACCCACGGTAAAGGCCACACTACAGTCATCCCCATGTCACGAGGTGCCCTTAAGGTACTCCTCCATTTTAGCTCTAGCCAGGGCATTAATGGGTCCAATCTTGTGCAGGTTTTGTGCAAGTCATCACAGAAGTTTGGCAGGAATACCTAGATTCAAATCCATATTCTTCTATTCTCATCACCATAAAATTTTGAGTAATTTATATCACATGCTATCACCCATTTCAAGAAACTTCAAAGAACTTGAAACATTATAGGCATTTGTTGAATGGTAAGTACCCTTTGATCCCCTCCATGAGCATATAGCACAAGATGAGAAATAGGAGTAGTGTATCAGAGAATATGAGTATATTTAATGTCAATAGACACTGCCAGATTATCCTTTAAACCGGAGGTACTAACATGCGTGTGTACTCAAATGTAGGAAAATACCCATTAGCCTCCTCTATATTGTAGTTTTTTGTTCATTTGATGACCAACAATAATATTCCACCAATACTTAGATTTCATCTTTTGATTATTAATGACAGTGGACAGTTTTCATGTGTATGTTATCCTTGTTTCTATTATTTGACTGCTTACGGTCATCCATGTTTACAAATCAGGTTTTATGCTTATTAATTTGCATGTGATTTTTATATTCTAAATACAATGCTTGGTTATCTATGATGGTTATTGAAAGTTTTTCATTTAAATGTTGATGGGGTCAAATTTAGCAGCTTTTCCTTTACGATTGTTACCTTATATCTAGTTTTAATATCTTGTTTAGAAGATATTTCTTCTTCCCAAGGTGACATCAGTATTCTAGATTTTTCTATTATATGCTTTTTATGTTTGCCTCTTTTTGTGTGTGTGGTGCTGAGGATTGACCCCAGGGCTTCACACATGCTAGGCAAATACTTTACCAGCTAAGCTATAACCCAGCTCGTGTTTAGCTTTCAAACCATCTGGCTGGTTTTTGGGTTTTTTTTATGTATAACAAAAGAATCTCATTGTCTCAATGCCATTTAACAAAATTATCCAAGTATTTAACATACTTTTTGTCTTTAACACCCATTACACCACCACAATACCCATTACATAACTCCAGTAACTAGTGGGATTAGCAGTCTCTGCCCCTTTGTTACCTTGTCACCAGGACAAACTGGCAGCATATAATTTATATGAGAATGTTGAAAGGGCTGGAGAGAGGGCTCAGCAGTTACAGGCCAGGCTCACCACCAGAAAAGAATATTTAAAAGCCTCATCCTTTTATGTCAGTAGCTAGTGGTGGTTGTTTTTCTACCTAGTAAAGAGACAATGCCTGGGACAGCCAACATGGGAGACACGGATGAATCCTGATTACATGGAGTCACGGCAGCCAACCGTGCCTAAGCCTTAGAACTCCTCGTTAAATGAACATGTCTCATTTTAATGAAGTATACTGTTTGAAAGCAAGCATCATAAACTCCATTGATGTCTTTCCAAGTCAAGTGCACATACTGCATGTTACAGTTGGTCAATACTTAAATGTTACCCATTGTTAGAACTTAGGAGAGGGACTTGTTTACTGTAGTTGTTCAATGTCTGAAAATAATTGAGTTAAGGAATGGCAAAATATTAGATTCACAAAAATTCAATAAATATTTTGAGGAAGTTGGAGAAATAGCTCAGTGGTTAAGAGCACTTATGCAATCATGTGCACCAGTTTGAATCCAAGGACCCTGCAAATACATGTAATGCCAGCTCCAGAGTTAGTACGTGAATTTTAATAAATTGTCTTAACTCTAATTAGAATATGCAGACTGGCTGGCTGAATGAAAAAATCAAGGTGCAAGTGTTTGCTGTCTGCCAGAAACTCGCCTCAGTCGCAGTGACATGCACAGACTAAAAAGATTGAGATTTAAAGTGATATTCCAAGAAAATGGAGTGTAAAAGCAAACAGGAGTAGTAATATCTGACAAATTAAACTTCAAGCCAGGTAAAGGAGGTCACTGCATATTTGATAATCTCTAATGCAAAGTAATTAGGAGACAAAACTCTTACTTAGCTTTAAACAATGTTTATACCTCTAGGGAGTATTGACAGTAAAATGATCTTGGAAAGTATTTTGCTTTATAAGTGGTCTAAAGTTAAAACTTCCTCTTTTACAAGGTGGCTTTTGCACAAAAAGAGTACACTACACCAGTTTTCAGACAGGAATCTGCAGAATTCAAACCCAGACATCAGGTGAGTCCTGTGATCCTAGTCTGGTGCCATTTCTATTCGATTACTAGTGTTCTCTAATACTGCATATGCATGTATATGTATATGTAAGTATACATAAATAACGTATGTATTTCTCAAACCAGAACTAGTCATTAGAAATGCCTAACTACCTTTAAAAATAATGCATTTACAAGCTTCATTTGACCTAATCAATTTCAGTCTGAAATGAAATCTTGGAATATGTGTTTCTGAAAAACAAAAAAACAAACAAAACAAAACAAAAAAAAAAAAACCAAGAGATTCTTAATATGTCACCTGAGTATCTATTAGCATTTGAAAAAATAATTATAATATATTAATCATTAAAATGCACTTTGAGCTGAGTTGCAGTGAACTAGTAGGTTGATTATTTCAGATTTTACATTTTTTTCAATCTCACAATGTAGAAGTTGCACAAAGAGACTAACTAAGAGGCTTCAAGAATAAGATTTTAGAAGATGAAGCCTTTAACAGCTGGGCTATCACTCCAGCTGGGTGATGGAATCCTGGCTGCTCTGTCAGAGGACCTGAGTTTAGTTCTGGGTATCCACATCTGGGGCCTCCCAACCACCCATAGTGCCAGCTCCAGAGACCCAAGCCCTACTGCCCTCAGCGGGCAATCACATATAAATAAAATAATTAATAATATATAGACAGATTTCATTTTAAAGATTGCTTCAACAATTGACTATATAGATCTCAGTTTAATATAGTTAATTTCACTGTAAGCCAGAAATTTTTACATTATTCTCTTAGCCATCTCTGCATACTCAAAAAGCCCAATTCTACTGTGTCATATTAAGGACTGAGCAGAGGCCTTCATCGTGGAAACTCAAACTTAAAGGCAGATGATATATGCCCCCAAGATGATCTTTAAAGAGTAATATCATGGACATTTACTACTTGTATTCATTTTTTAAAATTCTGAAATTATTACTAAATTGTAAATATTTATAGCAGATGAGATTTTGACCTTGGTGTTAACCACCACTGTCTCAATAGACACAACCAACTGTAACCATTAAAAGAAGTAGTTACAGTGGCGTTCCAGGAGTTCACGACTTCACCGTAGACAGAGTAAGGAAAGAGGATCCCTTAAACCCGGGCATTCCAGGCCTGCCTGGGCAACACAGGAAGATTGTATCTCAAAAATAAGTAGATAGAGATAGAGATAGAGATAGAGATAGAGATAGAGATAGATAGATAGATAGATAGATAGATAGATAGATAGATAGATAGATAGATAAAGAAAGAAACAAAAAAGGTAAATTTAAAAGCTAGCAATGCCAGTGCCTCACCAGAAAAATTCCAAGTAGTCAAAAAAAAACAAAAACAAAAACAAAAACAAAAACAAAAAACAAAACAAAACAAAAAAACCTGAAAGGATATGTTAGAATTAGGAATTTAAATTTTTTTTCACTAAAAATTTATTTTCAGGCTTGGGGATTTAGCTCAGTGGTAGAGCGCTTGCCTAGTAAGCACAAGGCCCTGGATTCGATCCTCAGCTCAAAAAAAAAAAATTATTTTCACTCAAACTTCAAGTATTTTCAAATAAAGTTGACTTCTTACTCTATAAAAGTTGACAACTTACTCTATAAAAACTGACTAGAAAAGTCATGATAATTTTAAATAAGTGCTAAGGAATTTCTTGTTTTCTTTTATATTGTACTTTCAGAAATTCATCAAGGGTGGTCTTGATCCTTTTCTAAGGAACATAAACAGCAAAATGTCATTCAAAAAGAAGAAAGACCAAGACGCATACAGATATCCAAGCACTTTAAGTACAGAAGTTGCAGAGCACGAAGATCAAGACCCTCCTTACCCAGAACATTCAAGGTCTGCAGGATCTAATACAACCTGGGCTAACGATCCTAACCTCATCACAATCCACATGGTAACCAAAAAGAATAATGTGCCTCCTGACCATACTACCACCACCACAATGACTTCAGACAGGAAGAACAATTTGCCACATGATCCTACTCTCAACACAACAAACACTTCACATACGAAGAGTATATTTACAAGTGGTAATCCCGTCATCACCATAACAAAGATTTCAGAATCTGATTATAAACTGTCAACTGATCCTAGTTCCAAGACAACGAAGCCTTCAGAGACGAGGCTATCCAGCAGCCCTAGTTCCCATACAACAAAGCCTTCAGAGACGAGGCTATCCAGTGGCCATAGCTCCCATACAACAAAGCCTTCAGAGACAAGGCTATCCAGTGGCCCTAGTTCCCATACAACAAAGCCTTCAGAGACAAGGCTATCCAGTGGCCCTAGTTCCCATACAACAAAGCCTTCAGAGACAAGGCTATCCAGCGGGCCTAGTTCCAATACAACAAAGCCTTCAGAGACCAGGCTATCCAGCGGCCCTAGTTCCAATACAACAAAGCCTTCAGAGACGAGGCTATCCAGCGGCCCTAGTTCCCATACAACAAAGCCTTCAGAGATGAGGCTATCCAGTGGCCCTAGTTCCAATACAACAAAGCCTTCAGAGACCAGGCTATCCAGCGGCCCTAGTTCCCATACAACAAAGCCTTCAGAGACAAGGCTATCCAGCGGGCCTAGTTCCCATACAACAAAGCCTTCAGAGACAAGGCTATCCAGTGGCCCTAGTTCCCATATAACAAAGTCTTCAGAGACGAGGCTATCCAGTGGCCCTAGTTCCCATACAACAACGTCTTCAGACACTAATAGGTTGGCCCATAATCCTAGTATAAATGGATATAAATCTTCAGATCCTAGTAAGTTGTCCCATGATCCTAGTAACATTTCAACAAAGTCTTCAGATCCTAGTAAGTTGAGCCATGATTCTAGTATCAATGCAAGAAAGTCTTCAGATACTAATAAGTTATCCCATGATGCTAGTATCATTTCAACAAAATCTTTAGATAGTAAGAATAAATTGCCAAGTGGTAAGCCTACTGTCAATTCAGATCTTACTACCAACACAGCAAAAACTCCAGCTACGAGGGACATGTTAGCATGGGATCCTGTCACCGTCACAGTCGACTCTTCAGATATGCAGAGTAAGTTAGGAGAACAGCTACCAGATGTATCTTTACCAAACTGCCACAGAGAATCATCAGTGACTGGAAATGGTAGCATATATCACCCCTCAAGCTCAATCAATTTTACCTCTGATATTGAAAATTTAAAACAGTCAATAGTACTCAAATCAATTTTAAGTAAAAATCTGCAAGACCTTTCAGATGAGTTGTTTTCTACCCCGGAAATCTGCCCCAATGCCGAGGGGATGCAGGAAAACTCCCCTCTGCCTCTAGGTGTGCATGACAGACCACCATGTGGGACAGAAGACAGAGTGCTTGAACAAGTCCAAGATATAAACAGCTGGCTTTCACCCAAAGATATTCTGAATTCACAGGCTCCTTTAAGTCCTGTGATTAAAAGTGTTCCTCAAGATTTACTTCCGGAAGGCGGGCCAGGAACATCTTCAGACATAGAAGTTGTCTCTGACAAACACTTAGAGGCTGCTGAAATACACTTTCCAATGAACAGAAAGAGCAATTTCAAGACCAAACATTTAGTAAGTGAAGTATCAGGTTCCGATCAGGGTTTAAATGGCAGTGTACGTGACTACGTCATTAAGCAGATATTCACTGCACCCATATTCTCGAAGCTAGAGACAGGAGCAACGGTACTGAGCGAGACACAGATGGCCTTACAAGACCAGCTGTTCACATACTGGGAGAGAACTACATCTTCACAGATTCTTACCTACGAAGAAAAAAGCAATGGAGCTCCTCTGTCACGGCCAAAATCTGGGATAAGCACAATAATACAGTCGTTTCCTGTAGAAACTCTGTTAGATTCTGGGATAATCAAAGTGCTACAACTAGATAAAGAAAACCAGAGCTCTCTGTTGGACGTACAGACAGCCTCTCCTGAGGAAAAGCTGCAGACTCCCACAGAGCAGCTCCATAAAGTCAAAAGCCAAACAAAACTGCTTTCAAGACAGACGACACCTAGCACTAAGCCCATAGAGACCTCTGCGAATGCAGTCGATTACACAGAAGACAGCCAAAGTACATCAGCACAAGAGCCAAACTACCCAAAAGCAGAGAGAAAGTTCGACTCCCCAAATGCACACCCGAGTCCGGACACGGAGGAGGCTGGGCTCAGTTCCGCTGTCGAGTCTCTAAGTAACTTAATGGGCAATCTTAAAGACACAGACTCAGTCATATTAAAATCCATCCTAAAAAGTATCTTCAAAAATTTCTTCAAATACAATCAGTCTGAAAGAAAAGAGTATCTAGACAGACAGTTTGACAGACTAACACAACATTCTTCACCACGTGGTACAGAACACTTAGAGAAAACGCAAGAGAATTTTAATAAAGCGGGCAAAACAGACAAGAAGCCCATTCTGGATCCGAAGCTGAGTGTGTTTCTAGAGAAACTCTCAGAGTCAGAAGTAAAAAACATGAAGTCTGAGTTAAGCAAGCACATTCAGCATTACCTTCTAGAAAAGCTCTCAGAGGCAGGCCACATCACTAAGGAGGACTTACCCCAAATTTACCGAAACCTGTATCTGATGAATGAGAAAACAGAGTTAAAGGAGCAAAGCTCTTTTCAGGACAAGTATTCCAAAACTGTCGAGGAAATCATGTCCTTTGTAAATAATTTTAACCATCATTTCATAGATAAACATTTAGAAATAAAGCTTAGATCTTTTCTAAATGAAATTCTCCAAAATTATTTTGTGAAGAATCTTTCAGGAAGCAATTTATTCAATGAGACGGATGGTGTGGCGCTCCGTCCCAGCATGTCCTCCGTGGCGAGTAACAGCTCTTCGAAGGCTCTGCACGGGCTGCAAGATATTGCCAGCGGGAGTTTTGGTTCAAGGCTCAAATTAAACATGAAATACCCTTTCAACGAATCTCTACAAAATTATCTTAAACCTTTATCAGAAAATGAATTATTAAGTCTAAAAGCTGATTTGAGCAAATATGTTCAGGTTCTCTTTATAGATAAACTTCATAAATCAGGACTAATGACAGAGAGGCAACTAAAGGGAATCAGCCAGCAAGTTAACTCACTTAATTCGCCTCCCATGCCATTCAAATACATAAACACAGATTCACCTTTTAGAGATGAAAGTTGCTTTATGAGGGAGGATTCAGAAGAGCAAAAGAAATATCCAAAGACTGGTCAAAATACCACCTTTCGAACATTTCTTGAAGATATACATGGAGAAACAGAACCGACCAGAAAGGGAGAAAAAGGAAGTTCCTTTTCACACAATTTAAAAGAAAATCCATCAACAACTTGGGAACATAAACATCTTTATAGTAGGGAAGTTAAAACATTAATGAAAGTACAACCTCCTTCCAACAAAAATACCCAGGCAGTTGCATTAAATAAGTCACCAGAAAGACCTGCAGATGTATTCCGTAAGAAACACAAGCAAGACCATGGTTTCATGCAACTTCCTCAAGCAGAAAATTGTATTTACAAAACAGATACTCAAGAGCCATACAGTTGGGATGGTAGATCAAAACCAATTCAATCAAAACTCTGCTTTGAAAAGACACTAAAGGTGAAGGCGCTTGAGAAAAGGGATAACAATAACATTTGCAAACTGGCTGTTCAGGAAAGACCTGATCCAGGATTTTCACCTTACCTAAAACTTCCTACCTGCAAAACCTCAAGAGAAAACGAACACCTGAACAGGCTCTCCTTCCCTACCTGGCGGACTAACACTTTCATTTATGTCAACACAGAGAATGGGGAGCAATCAAAATTAGACCAGTATTGCCAGAGGTGGAAAGAAAATAATAATAACAATAAAAAACACTTGGTGACATTTGCACAATTCAAAAATGAAATGGAAACTCTTTATATAAACCCGTATGAAGACCGCAAAGAAAGATGTGCCAGAGGGGCTGAATCGCAGGCGTTCCGATTCAAAGAGGAGGAGAGAAACCCCAGGCCATCTTTCTTCCCAGAAGTACTGACGAGAGAAAGCATGAAGTCCAGAAGAAAAGAAAGAGACTACACCACCAAACCAAAGAAGTCATTTCACAAGATAGTCAGGATACTGCCAGCCGCGCTGCCCACTGCAAGACCTCATCTCCGGAAATCTGTTCCAAGGACCTTACTCCACTGGACTGCGAGGAGAACTATCCACGTAATAATGCTTTTCCTAACTATTTTCTTCTGTATTTGGCAAAACTTTGTAATAATTTTGCCTTAGAATATGTATGCCTTCTAAAGGAAGGTGTGTGTGTATGTGTGTGTGTGTGTGTGTGTAACTTTAATAGCCCCAAGATATTCAGACTTCCACATTTTAAAAATATTCTGAAATTCAAATATCTTAACTGATTCAAAATACAATTGCAAAACCAGAGTGCCTTTTATGAATCAGGAAAAGGATGCCTTGTCTGTACATGACTTAGGAAATGATGTTCTTTTCTCTAGGAAAGCTCTCTAGGCTGACAAATCTGCAGCCCAGGCACACAGCCCTGTCTTTGGAAGCCCTGCTGGCTGGCCATCCTGACCATAGCCTAGGGTTCTGTGCAGTAAAGCCTACATAACCATGAGTGGCCAGGTACCATAGAAACATAAGTGAAATTTTCTTCTCCCAGAGATAGAACTGTATACATGGCTTTTTCAGCTATCTGGATTATCTCTGTCAGTAAAGAATATGAAGCTCTGACTCTGCTAGGAATTTTATATATATATATATATAGCTTATACTCTTGGGGATTGTGAATTGAACCTTTTCAATTTAACTCTGCTTGTTTGGTCCTTTACCCTTTCTGCCGTATCATATTCTGAGATCTTGAAAATGAGATTCTAGGTTTTCTCAGTTCTTGGAAACTCACATAGTGTTTTGATCAGACTCACTTGCCTACCTCCTCCCAGATCCACCTTCCTTCCCTACCTACTAAAGCTGTGTCCTCTCCCCCACCCCCACCAAGTCCAATTTGTCATGTGAGCTATGGATACGGCGTGTGATCAACTTACTCAACTTACTAGGGGCCACATTCTTAAAGAAAACTTACTCCCCATCTCCTAGCAGCTATCAATTGCCAACATCTCCTTGGCTAGGGGCGGGGCTTCCTTCTCCAACCTACCCTCTCCACACTGGGATTTTGATCTGGCTTGACCTTGCACAAGCTATCCCAACCACTGTGCTTTCATATGCATGCCTGTCCTCTGTGTCTTGAGGACACTGTTTCCTTGGACACACCCACTGCCTCTGACTCTCAGTCTTTCTACTCCCTCTTCTGCAATGATCCCCAAGTCTCTTGAGAAGAGGGGATGTGATATAAATGTCCATATAAGGCCGAGCACTCCAGTCTCTTATTCTCTGCTCCTTGGCCAGTTGTGGATCTCTGTGTTAATCACCACCTACAGTAATAGAAGCTTCTCTGATGAGGTTTAAGAGATGTATTAACCTACGGACATAGCAGTAACTAATAATAGTCTAAGAATAGCTTCCTGACCTGACAAGGATGCCAGCTGGAGGCTTTATCTATCAAGTGGGCTTTAAATCCAAACAGAAAGTGGTTTGCTACTTCCGTGATGTCCATGCTGCTATTGCGCCAGTTGGCATGCCTTGCCTGGCAGATGTTACTCTAGCTTACAGGGCGCACAGCTGGTAAGACTGATGACTATTTTTTCCCTCCGGTAGCATGCACAGTACCTTCCAGCACTATGAAACCTAGCTAATAGGGATGAAGTTTCCAGGCTCTGTGACTCATGTATGTGGTATCGTCAGCAATATGGTCTTATCGCCAAATCTGGAGGGTAACCAATAGCGTTGGCACTAGCCTGTAATGTTTGAGGGTCTATAGGACCGCACTGGTAAATAACTCCAAAAGCATAACATGTTGTTGGCATGAGGTTTTTTATTTGTTAGCCCATGGCATCTAGTAGGGGCAGCTATCCCGCTACAGGTCCCATCATAAGGTAACTTCATTATACACACACAGAAGCAGATAGGTTTCCATGCGACTTTTTTTTTTTTTTTTAGGAAGGTCCCCATATCCCTCCTCTACCCCACTCTCCCAACCCTTCCCCAATTTAACTCTTCCTGTTCCACGATTAGGATGTTAAGCTGGCTATGAGGCTTTGTGTGTAAATTGTAAGGCAAGAAAATATAGAAATAGAAGGCATTTATTCTGATTCTTTCTCTGTTAATTTGTATAATGGGCATGACTCATAATTTGGAAAACTGTTACGATGTAAAACTGATCTTAAATCAGCAGCTTGATGTGCATAAGTCTGCCTTTGAATGGGAAAATAAATCTAATTTCAGAAGTTACTTTGAGATTGTTTTATACAATAAAACAAGCTAATAACTTCATAGTGGCAGGACAGACAACTCTCTATTACATGTAATGTAAATATTCTAACAGCTTCTTAGTAGTAGGATAAGAATTTATACTCCTAATTTTAGATTTTTCTATCTGAATATAGTAATTTAGTATTGAGCTAGTATATGTGTGTATATGTGTACACACAGGCATGTGTGTGCTATGAAAAGGAACAGATTTAGTTTCAGTTCTGAAGAAACAAAAACTATCAAGTTCCTTTAGACTTTTTTTTCCAAATGCAGAAATTGTGTTCACGTCAAATAGTATAAAAGCATATATGATCTCTTACCCCTTTGTGCATGTATGTGTATGCATGTTTGTGTGTATACAGGTACATATGCACATATTGTGGAGGTCAGAGGTCAACCCTGGCTGTTGCTTCTTAGTGCTATCCACTCTGTCGTTTGGTTTGGTTTGAGACAGGGTCTCTCATTGGTCTGGAACTTGATGATTAGGATTGGCCAGCTGGCTGGCTGGCAAGCTTCAGGACTCCTCTTCTGTCTCCCAGCCCTGGGATTCCAGGTGCTGACTACCATGCCCAGGTTTGGTTTGTTTACCTCCTGAGCACCTCCCCAGCACTCACAGCCCTCTCTGTGAGAGCAAGGGAGGACAGTGTACAGTTATCTCCCTGTATTAGGACTAGGTGTTTCTAACTTTTCTCTCTAACGGACAAGAGCATTGAATAGCACTGGACCTTCTGCCAGACGATCACAAAGATGCCCCTCTACTTCCTGAAATCTAAGAACTTCTGAAACGAATCAATCGAGAGAGAAAAGCTGTGTTGTTGGGACCTGAGCCCAGAGGACAGCTCCTTGAGGGTGTTTAGCTTCCAGCTTCTTACTTCCCACTCCCTTTGAAGCAGCAGATCCTTTTTTAAAATCCAGGAACAGAAGGGACTTCTTCTGAGCCAGTGGTGTGGTTCCCATGTCCTTCTACTGACACCCTGGTTAGCAGCTGTGCAGCTAAAGTTGTTAATACTGACTTGGATGTAGCAGAACCTCTCTTATGAATCAGCTTGGGTTGTTAATACTGACAGATGTAGCAGAACCTCTCTTATGAATCAGCTTGGGTTGTTAATACTGACGGATGTAGCAGAACCTCTCTTATGAATCAGCTTGGGTTGCTTGCTCTACCTACATTAGAGGAAAAGGAATCACTGGGCATGGGATTGAGTTTTTGCCATGATTACACCATGCACTCCAAAGGCCAGATGATGTCAAGTTTTAGGCTAGCCTAGGCTACAAAGTGAGTTCCAAGCCAGTGGGCTCCAGGCTAGTGTGGGCTAGAGTATAAGATCCTGTCTCAAAAAGAAAAACAGAAAGAGAGAGGAAGGGGGAGGAGGGAGAGAGGGAGGGAGGGAGGGAGGGAGGGAGGAGTATCTTCCTGTTATCTCCAAACCCAGGCAAAAACTCAAGTAAGTAGAATTGGAGTTTAGACTCTTGGAGCAGACTTCCTTTTGTGGATCTCTCTAGTCTTACTAGTCACTTCTTACTAGTCCTACCCAACCTTCATGACCCTACAATTCAACTAGTTCACTCCTGCCTTGTTTCCCATCAAAACATCCATTTCTGTGAGTGGCTGTCGTGTGCCACCCCCCCCCCCCCAACGGGATGAACTGTGAATAAACTAGCTTACACCACTGCATGGCTAATGGCTCCATACCCTTTAGGGGTACATCTCGATCTTCATATTAAGACAGCCATAAAATGTACAAGGAGAGAACTGTTACTTTCTCCTCTTGTTATTTGGGTGTTCTTGAACTCATGGTAATCCCCTTCCTCTACCCTGAGTGATGGGACTATAGGCCTAAACCACCACCACATTTGGCAAATTATCTTTAATGTAAACATAATGATCAATCTGGGTGTGGTGATACACACTTAGAATTCTAGCAATCAGGAGACTGAGACAGGAAGATTTAGAGTAAGAGGTCAGCTTGGACTATATACAAATATTCAGTCCCATACAAACATTACAATCATATTCTTGAATGTTATGCTGTATCTATGCACACACACACACACACACACACACATATATAATATATATATGATATATACATATACTAACAAAGTTAGTTGTTAAAGTAACTTGTAGAGATGGTAAAAGTTAAGATAATATAAAAGTAAAATATCAAAGTTTATAATTTATATTTGAGGTCATGGGAAAGACATTTTGGAATAGAAGAACTGTAGACTAGGCTGGCTAGCTTTGCCCGTGTCTGACCCCAGAGGACAGCCCCTTAAGTGTGTCTGGGTCTCAGTTTCATGTCCTTCACCCTTTTGAAGCATCAAGTCCTCTAAAGGGGTAAGTTGGTTTTCGTTTTTTGTGAACATGATTTCTAAGGGAGTGTCTGATGGGAAGCACTGGGTATATGGAATGCACTGGGACTGCCTAAGAGACATTAGGGCATTCAGTTAACTGCTGATAGCACAAGCATTACTTCTTATAATGTTAAAATGGTTTGTTTTTTGTGTGTGGGGGTTTCGAGACAGGGTTTCTCTGTATAGCTTTGTGCCTTTCCTGGAACTCACTTGGTAGCCCAGGCTGGCCTCGAACTCATAGAGATCTGCCTGGCTCTGCCTCCCGAGTGCTGGGATTAAAGGTGTGCGCCACCACCGCCCGGCTAAAATGTATTTTTAAGAAGCCTAACTTACCAATTTGATGTTTTGTTTCAATATTTAGGATTGTTTGGATAGATTCGACGATTTACAAATACCCTCAGTTAAACGTCCTAAAAACTCAAAATCCAGATCGAGACTTTTAGGCAAGAGTCCAGATGACTCCTATAATCAGGCAAAACCCTGCGCACGACCATCCACCGCTCCAGAGTCTAACAAGCGACGGGAAAGTGTCACCGGGAAATTCGCAAGTCCTCGGATGGTCTCGGCGGGCTTAGTTCATATCCATGACACCACCCCAGAGTACGACATACGGAAAGTGAGGTCCAAAAGAAAATTAAAAGAGAATATTGAAAAGCGTCCGCTCATTTATGATATTATCCAGATGTTAGACACTGCAGAATAATACGTGAGGCCACCAGTCAGAATATAATTTCTCCATTAACAAAATGGTTTGGAGATCTATCCTTGTGCGTGATAGAAGTCAACAACGAAATTTCATCTTGTGAGACCATTTTGTTATGATTAAAATGAAAAATAAACACATTCTGTGTAAACGTGTTTTTGTTTATAAACCTTCCAGAACAAACTAAAAACTGTATCTACAGTTGATGTTCATTAGCAAAGCTGTGCAGCCCAGCTTTTCCCTCTTGGGGTGAACTAGTCGTTAGCTCCCCCAGCATCTGTGGTCCTTGGTTACTCCTGCCTGCCCAGGTTGCCAGTTCTGCACTTGCAGCTATCTGTGCTTAGCAACTACTTTACTCAGCTCTAGTTAAATTCGAGATCCAGCAGTCTACACTTCTCTGGGCCGATAGAAAGAATGCAGGCACTTATTTTATTGAGTGACGGATCCAGGCTAAAAGCCAAAAGGAACAGCGAGAAAAGCCCTGAGCTAGCAAAAACGAGATGTGCTCCCACCATTCAGAAAGGAAGCGCTGTTACCCTCGTAAAGACTTCAGAAAATGAAGAACCAGCTGCTGGCAAGAGTATCAGGAGCGAGGTCAACTGTGAGAAGTGCCTCCCACCACCACTAAAATCAAAACAACAAAAAGATTTTAGCTGTTTCTGCCCCAGATGCCAGGGAAACACGCTACGCATGAGAAATGCAGTTCCAGTGAGGCAGAGGAGAGTGAAGAAATGAATTGAGAGGTAGCAGGTAAAGAGAAACACCACGGGCCGGATTTAGCAAAGATAGATTTCCTAGAGAAATCTCAAACTCCTGCGCCTCACTAGAACTCTGACAGCATTGTCATGGCTGTGTTTCTAACATTTCACCACGTAAATCAAGTTTTCCATACAACAAAACTCTAACATTCCCCCTCAAGGAAGACTCTCCTGTCTGACTCTGAACTGGGGTTCAGCTCTTCACAGCCACCGGACTCAAACTCAACACTGTCTTGTCCTAGAGCTTTAGACCGATAGCTTTTGGACCAGACTTCATCATCAGCTCTTATTAGCTCATGAGCAGACCTTGCGGCTTATCAGCCTCCATAATCTTGTGAGACAATTGTTGAAATGTCTACACATGTATGGATATTGCATGTTTTATATGTGCACATAAACACATGCACATTCTAATTCCTAGTAACCCTACAGTAGGACCTCTGACAACCCCTTCCACCTCTGGCCGATTATACACACAGGACCTTCCCAGATTCTGAGATGCTAAGGCACGAAGTGCGATAACCTACAACGCCCACTATGGCAGCTGTTCTCAGTGCTCCCACAGTCCTGTCCTCCCCCTCCTCTACCGGCCCACTCTAATCTCGCTCCCCTCCACTTTCCATCTCGGCAGGTCTTGGTAGCCCTACGGATAAGAGCAGCCCTAACATTCACTCTTGAGGCAGGGGTATAGCCCACAAACATAAACAGGATCGCTTCAAACTGCCTGCCTATTTAGTCTTAGACAATCATTTTAGAATAACTCCCAATACAATACAGTCATGTAGATTAAGAAAACCAACTGACACAGACCCCCACTGACTACAACTTAAACTACAAAACATTTTTGAGAGTGTGCTAGTTTGGATGACAAACATGCCCTATGGGCTCATGTATCGGAACACTCAGCTGGTGGTGGAGAAGCTGTGTGGGGAGGCTATGGAACTTTTAGAACTCTGAGCCTCGCTGGAGGAAGTAAGTTACTGGGGTGTTTTCAGAGTTTACACTCTTGCCCCATAGTTGACCCTCTCTTCCTGTGTGTGGAGCTGAAATGTGATCTTAGCTCTCTGCTCCTGCTGCCCTTCTTTCCTCGTCAGGGACAACTAACTAGCCCTCCCTCCTCAGCTCTCCTTAATCACTGTTGACCATGGTGTTTCATCACAGTAACAAAAGTGACTAGTGCACCCTTCTTCTGCTAAGGAGGCAATACCATTAACAACCGCATGGTCTTATAGGTTTGCTCCACTACAGAAAAAATCTTATCAAAGGCCGGAATGCCATGCATCTCTAACATCTACTCTTTAGATGCCTACAGTTTATTAGGTTATGTAACATGTTTGAAAAGAGACCTTCTCTTAGCAAACCAAATTAGAATCTGTATTCTAGCTTTGTTAAGTCACACAAAATAAAGATATGTTCAATTTAATAAATCTTTATTGAGCTCCCACAGGGTGCATGAATTAAGGATCTATAACTTACACAGGTAGAAAAGTGTTACTTTAGCCCCTCCCTTTTAAAATGCAAATTGCATCTTCTCTTTATATTTCAAGTGAATTATTTAAGGTGAGCAAGGCTCAGTTTGATGTTACCATATGTAAAAGGGATAGTACAAACATTTTCCCTTCTCCAAAAAAAGGACTTTGTACCAGAATAAACCAGTCTGTTCATCTAACAATAGCTGATCAAAAAGGCTAGAAACTATGAAAGAAAAGATGTTCTTGGAAGCACTGTCCTCGGAGGAAGGGCTCATTCCCAGAGGACAGCAAGATGTAGAAGAAAACTAATTGGCTCAAAAATTACACTGAGATCCAGAAAATACCAGTCACAGCTTAGAGAGAGAAAAGGAAAACAAACAAACAAACAAACAAAAACCAGATGACACTAACTGTAGCTGGATTCTAATTCTGATGTGGAAGTCGGGAAAGGACTCTGATCTGAGCAGAGGGGATGAATCCATGCCCCATGAGCAGAGTGGTTTTAACTGATCAAGTCTCCAGTGCACCAACTGTATTTTCAAGTCTAGACCTGGCATTTGTACCTAACAACACAGAAGAAAAGTAGCAAGGAGAAGCTGTCAAGTATAGAGGACATGAAATGATTTGGCAACCCTAGAATTCCCAGTCTGGGTCTTTGTCGTCAGGAAACTCGCACTCCAGCTCACTCCACGGTGACGCTGGCGGCAGTGCCAGCGATGGCCTGTTATAAGCAGGTGGCAGCAGAGACAGGATGGAATCCTGGCTTTCTTCTTTCATCTGTTAAAGAAACTTAAAATAGTAATGCAGGCACACAGAGTCAACACAAATTTTAGTACCAATAAATAACTTTTAAGAAATTATAAAACTTCAAAATTATTTTTGGGTCTTTTTCCTATAAATGCCTCCAATTCTGATAATCAGAAGACAGAACGACTTAAAAGTTAAATAAACTACTTTTAATTGGAATTATTCTGCCCTGTCATTAATTCCAGGTAAGTCAAGACACCAGTTTTAAGTTAATGAAAAAACAGAGTGTATAACATGATATACTGCTTTTACTCATCTGATTTTGAAGACTAAAGATCTTTCAGATATTCTATTAGTGCCGTCAGATGGGTCAGTGGGCAAAGGTGCTAAAGGCGTTTGAACTCACTACACCTGAAGACCTGAGTCCATCCCTGGGGTTCACACAGTAGAAGGAGAGAATGACTTCTGCACGTTGTCCTCTGACCCCCATGTGCATGAACGTAACACCCAAGTACGCACACACAATCAAAGATGTCGAAAATTAAACTGCTAAAAATGTTTCCTTGCTTTCATGCTATCTTGTAAGAAAGTTATTAGTAAAACTTGATGAAGTCAACAAAATAATGGTTTTAAAAAAATAGTAATTTCAAATATTTAAGATAATGGACATAGACCAGCTCACCTGCTTGAAGAATACATGGGACAATAAACTGCTTGCTGATGGCCTGAAATTTTTGAAAAAGTTATTAGAAAATAAAACCTAATATTAGAATGTAGATATTTTTTAGGTATATAATTACATTAGAAATGAGGTTTATTAAGTTCCATTTGCTTTTGGGATACCATCTTACAAGGACTCCAATTTGCAGTAAGGCTCGTTAAGGAAGGGAATGGCTCAGTTGCCTTTAGCCTACTGGCTATGGGTGAGATAGGACCTCTGTTGGTCTTTTCTGTGCCGAACACACAGATTGCAAGCCCAGCGCCACTTTGAGATCTTTGGCAGCAGTTAACTCTGCACCTCACACACAATTGAGCCTGTATGATAATGAGTATTCAGAGACAGGTAATACCTGGGGGGGCGCTCACCAACCTAAGACAGAGCGCCTGTGTGGCCTGGGCAGACGTCTCCATGACGGGTAAGGTGACCTGCTGACGTCCCATGCAACCTAAGTCAGAAGCTCATTTTTTAGTAAAAGGGGAACCTGTAGCCCTCCCCCCCCCTTTTAGGTAACTGTTGCCTTGCTTGCTGACCTTGACCTTGATATCCTCCCTATGCTAATTCCCTGCCAGTTCCACCCTCCTGAATGTGTTTAAGGGAAGTTCCTTGTCTGTGTATCCTGCATAATGGGCGTTAACAGCTTAGATGCAAGATTGTAAAACATCGGTAGGGAACTTCTGCCCTCTGGGGTTCTCCCATTGTGCTGTAAGCCTGTATTTAAGACTTCCTTCCTCCTTCAATAAACAGCATTGGCATTAAAAAAAAGAAAAAAGAAATGAGGTTTAGAACTATAAAACTCAACACTAAAAAGGACACAGATTAGAAGTAATTCTTAGCAACAGCCTCGACTGATGGGAAGAGATAATTCTGGAAAGTCTCTTAAATTAGTCCATACTCAACTTTTACTGTACACATACTATTTACTAGGAACTATGCCAGGAAGAAGGTTCTGAAAACAGTAAGATTCCTTATCTTCTTTCTACATTGCTAAAGCTAGCATCCCAGTCTTTGAAATCCTATTTATATCAGTACACTAGAAGGACACCATTTAGACTGCTTAGAGGTGTCTACACGTGCCCTAACATGGACACTAAGAACAAGTGACTTGAAGGCAGCAGCTGCCTGGGTACCGTGTGGCCACGAATGAAGGCCACCTCCTGTGACCTGGAACCCCGTGTTCTTCATCCTTGCTTATCACTGACTTGTTCTTAGCACTGATAGTCTCTAGCTGAAGTTTTTGATCAAAAGATGTAAATTTCATGGGAAGGGTAATATCACAAAACTACTAGAAGATATAAAGCATATACGTTTTGTGCTATTTAGAGGTGACCAGTGTTACCTTTTCTCAGGATCTTGCTGCAAACACAGCTGCACCAGGCTTAAGAAGGCAGGAGAGAATGTTTTTGTGGATGGTGTGTGGAGCCGGTCACTATTGACTGTGTGAGTTCCAGTCGAG